TTCCTTCCTTCCTTCCTTCATGGCCTTCGGAGGGACCCCCCAGCAAAAGAACAAAAAAAAACCGAATACATACCCCTCCTTATGCTTATTCAAAACTATAGCGTGCTTGCATCCTTCTGCTCCGACCGCCCTTACGGATCGTAATGCTTTGTGGCATCATCAGCTCCCCCGAGGTTTAAGAATTAGGGTTCAGGGGTGTTGTGGTTTAGGGTTTATCATTGATGCAGTTGAAGGTATATTCCCTTCAGGGCCTCTGGCTTTCGAGGACGTGGCAACTCCCTCGTGGGCAAAGCGGAGGTCTGAATCTGTCTGTCTGTGCATCTGGCTCTCCTTCTATCTGTCTATCGATCTATCTACCTGTCCATTCGCGCGTCTGTTGGTCTATGAGTCTACCTCTCTAGATATCTTTCTGTCTAAGTACTCATCTATCCTTCTGTCTAGCTTCCTGTCTATCTATCCATCTATCTGTCTAATCCTTCTGTGTAGCTACCTATCTTTCGACCCATCTATCTGTCTATGTATCTGTCTTTCCAGCACTGTTTTTTGTCTATGTAAATCGAACATGGTAGCAAACTCAAAACTTTCAATGCGTTCAATCTTCAAACTCGTCCAATTTACAAGCCTTCAAACTCCCAAACTCTCATACTTTGAACATCTCAAGCATTCGAACCCCGCGTCTCTCAGACTTTCAAATTTTCGAAGATTGAAAATTTCAAACCTTCAACCCCCCAAAGTTTGAAACTTTCGAATCTTCAAAGTACGAAGCTTTCAATCTTTCAAACTTTCAAACTTCCTGGGTTTCAAACTTTCAAACTCCAAGCTCTCAAACTTTCGAACTCGAGCCTGAGGGCTGCTATGTGAACCCCTACGCGTCTCCAGCGTTCCTTCGCCTTGCTCCTTTGCGCAATGCGCGTTGCCGCGGCTGCAAACTTCCAAGCTGAATTGCTCTTCAAACTTTCAAACTCCAAACTCGCGCCCACTTTCAAACTCGAAACTCTCAAATACTCAAACTTCAAACTTTTCATGGTCCAAACTTTTCAAACTTTCAAGCTCTCGAATCTAGTCCAGCATGAAATACATTCAAACTCTCAAAAATTCGAGTTCGAAAAACCCCACTCGTGACACCTATCTTAAAGGAACCCTCTTCTAATTACTGACCCCTGTACTATAGTACCCTACTCTAGATCCCTTATAGAACCCTTCAAAGGGGTCCTTTAAATGAACCTATTAAAACCTACCTTTTCTTACAGGGTTCCTTATCTTATACAGGTCCTTAAAGAGACAGGTTTCTTCGGGCCCAGGTTAGCCCTAAACCCTGGGCCCTAAACTCGAAAACCAGATAATTTTGGGGCTTACAGAACCCTAAACCATCCATAAAACCTAAACCCATGAGCCCCCCCAGCTTGGCGTAGGCGTGTCCAGCCTTGATCCATCAGTCGGACACACAAAAACTGCCTTTGCCACATCGGTAGCGTCTCCACCGTGCAGTCCCGTGGCTCCATGTGGGGGTTTCCGAAATTGTGGTACCTGATTTTGGGGTCCTTATAATGAGGATCCTTTAGGGTCCCCTATTTTCGGAAACTCCCATGTCTCCGTGCTGCTGTGCAGACAGGCGCTTTCTTTTTCTTCTTTTGTTGTTGAAGGGGGGTGGATCTAGGGGTAACGGGGGTGTAAGGCCGTTTGGGGCTTTGGGTCGTGGGGAAGTCAATAGGCTTTTGCTTGGGCTCTAGGGATTAAGGCTTCTAGAATCCAGACTTGGGCATGGCCCTGCCCAAACGCCGGACAAATCATGGCGAACCTCTTCTCACAGGAATCGTGGTTAGGGATCTCAGGGGTCCAGAGTTACGGGCTTGCAGACAGCCGAAATCCCCATTTTCGAGACCAGCCCAACTCGTCACTGACTGCACAAAACAAAACAGGTCAGGAATGACCGTTAGTTACCCATAAAGCACAAGCCTGAACATGAATCCCTTGCCCATAGGTGCACCCCCAAAACCTCTGAAAACACAGTGCGCGACCCTGAAACTTAAACCGCAAAGCCTGCAATATGTATGAATACCGCACCGCGAACTCTGAAAACTACATCTGGAGTCTACAGCCACATGCATGAACCCTATAAACCCACAGACCCAAACTCGAAACTCATCGCCGAAACCCTAGAACCGAAACCCTGAACACTCAAGTCTGAACACCTTGATAAACCCGCAAAAAAAACTTGCTTGAACAATCACGTGCGCGCACACACACACAATGCACATCAAACACCGAGACAAGTGTGTTACCTATACACATCTTCGACGAGGCTGTATGCCAACTCAAGAGATACATACCTGCCTACGTGTGTACCTACATACATGCATCCATGCATAGAGACACCCCCCAAAATCTCCGAGCCATCTCAGGCTTGCGCGTTTGGAAGGCCGGGGAGTTTTGGCTCAGGCCGCACATGGATGCAATGAAGAGTACCAGGCTAAAGCCTCAGTTGGGTTTAGGGTTTGTAGGAGTCAAAACGCCCCCACAGAGATTACGAAGCTTTCAATGCTTTCCGCAGAGTTTGCTTGAGGGATGTTGACGTAGCTAGACGCTCAGCAGCCATAGCAAGATATAAGGCCGTTAACGATCCAGGAAGCATGTTCAACTCGCCTCTCGAACCTGTCGAGTCTCGGTAGAAGGGTTTTGGCTCCAGAACTCTTAGGCTCATGCTGGGTTTGTCGGGCTGTTTCCGCAGGACTGGTTTAAGGTCCACGTCTTGCAGGGTTTTACTTTTGCGGAAATCTTCGCCAGGCAGACAGTGCGGTATTACATGGTACTACTACGGCACCCTCAGATGCAGAGTAGAAGGGCCCAATGACTGTTCGTTCGAGGCGCCCGGTGGCTCAAGCATGTGGATTCTACCATCCTACCCTAAACCTCTAAACCCCAAACCCTAAAACTCAAAACCATAAACGCTAGACACCCTAAAACCCTAAACCCCAAAAACCTACTTCTCGAGTCCTTTGGACCCAGGGTATTAGGTTACAACAGCCTCAGATCCCAGGCTAGGAGCTCAGCAAATAGAACAGGCCTTCTTCATGGGAAAGGGTTTAAGTGTTTAGGGTTTAGGGGTTTAGGGGTTTAGGGTTCGGGGTTCACAGTTGCTAGTAAGCCTCAGTCCGTACAAGTCAAGTGCTCAACCAACACCTAAACCTGAACCATGACCCCCTCAGCACTGAACCACAAACTCCAATCCCTCATCATGTAAAACAGGCGAGCACGAACATGACCACATGAGCAACTGCCCGTAGTATTTCGTAAATAGCACCTACGAGTAGCATGCTATGACACCGAAATAAAATCTTAAGAAATGTTGGGCTTCTAGTGTATGGGATAGTGACGGTGGCTTCATTTACCTTTGAAGTTCCTCAATTAAGAGGAGCTACATTGGAGACTTGAGACCCAACCCCAAAACCCCAATGCCGAAAGGGCGATGCTGTCCGACCCCGCCGTGACCTACTACGAGCCATTGTGCCGGCGATTGGGCTCGTGCTCGATTTGCCATCGGAATTAAGCCTTTAAGCCTTTAGCTCTCCCGCTGTAATCCTGTGACCGGGTTGCAAGCTGTCCACTGTCCGTAGATCACATGAGTGAAGTCATGTCTGCCACCAAGGGAAGTCATGTATGCGTGACTAATTATACACCTCATGAAGCTGAACATCAAACGCCACTAATTATACACCTCATGAAGCTAAACATCAAAGTCGTTTGACCAAGACATCAGAAGCCCTTAAAGTGCCAAGCACTCCTACCCTTACCTTTGGTTAGTAGGGAGTGGAAGAATGGTAGTAATAGCATTAATAGCAGTTATAATGGTACCCCATTCTTCCATTCCCTACTAACCGAAGGTAAGTACCTAGATCGCCACGCACTTTCGAAGCAAATTTTCATCGACTCAGGTCGGTGCCAAACATCGCCCACAGGGCCACGTAAGCGTAGGGACTGAGCAGGTGTTGAGCTTTCTAGTATGGTTTTGGAGTAGACTGTGGCATGAAGTTACATGGTGACAGTCCGTAAGACCAGGACAGCATACTATTGCAACTTACTCAAATCTCTAGTGGGTGCTTGAAACTGGCGAAAAATGGCGGTAGAGCCTTAGACTTAGCTGGGGCATGCGCTTAGCAAGTGTAAGCTTTAGGTTCTACTACCAGTATAACTGTTGTACTTATTATCGTTATTGATTATTACTGTGGTTGCTACTACTAGTTTGATCTGAGTATAGACGCACGTACACACGCACACATACCAATACACATACATGTACACAGATGTACAAGCATCCATACATTTGTATATGTGTACAAACATATACACATATGCACACGTACATATATGAATATGTACGTATATGTACATACCTATACACACACACATATAGATATAGATATATATATATATATATATATATATATCCAGGCATCGATATCTATCTGTATACCTACCTTCTACCTACCTACCTACCGACCGGCCTGGAGTTCTGAAAGACATATGCCGGACTCCGAGAATCCACTCAGACAAGCTGGGTCTCAGATTCCGGAGGGATCCGGAAAATGTTAAGTTTACCCTAAGGCCCTAAAGTAGTTCCTTTTCGGAGTTCATATATATATATATATATATATATATATATAGAATCCTATAGGGTAATCCCTAAAAGGAAGTACTTTGGGGCCTCTGGGTAGGGTAAGAATGGTCCTACTGGTGGACGCAGGAGCCCCTAGCCCGCGAGACCTCTTACAGTATCCCTTGTAGAGCCCTATGGAACCCAACAAGTTACTTGTTGAGGTTGAAAAAGAAGCTAGTTCCTAAGTTCCAAGGTGAAGCAGCCTGGAAACCTGCAGACTATGCCGGCCGCTGGACAGTTTTGAGAATATTCGGAGACTTTGCAAGTAGGCTGCACTGGTGTCGTTGGTTTTAGAGTTGTGGGGTTTAGGGGTTAGACCGCATGGCAGACGGCTTGGCAACCGGACAGGAAGCCGGTTATGTCATACTTCGTCTGGCAGGCGAACAGCGTGAGACCAACAACCTGACGAACAATCGGACTGTTGAGGGTCTCCGACTGCGGGATACATCCCCTAAGCTCTTGAACCAACAAACCGTCCGTAAACCCTAAACCAGAAGATTCCTTACTCGGTGATGCAGGTGGGTCCATCACAGCTGAAAGCTTGGATTCAAGGTGTCATCTTGGTCGCCCGCGACGATGCTGGTGACAGCAATCACGATCAGCACAGACCTCGGAGCACAACTGTGCGATGCACGCCAGCACTAGCAAACTAGATTCTTCAATGGCCACGGTCGCCCACCCATGGTACAAAGCAGACCTGCCTTTTTGACAACTGCAAGTGCTCCAAAACTTGAAGTCACACAACCCTTTCAGGTTTAGCGTTCAGGAACCACTTGGCAACAAAGAGACCCTGCCACTACGTGTGCCTTTCTGGTCTGCGGGCCTTAAACGAGGAGTTTTGACAAGTTTGGTGCCAGATGCAATCAATATCAAAAAGTCAGGTGTGCTGAGCATTCACCTTGTGGCGTTTAAGGCAGAGCTTCAAAATCCAGGCGCCCAAAAAAAACAAAGTGCGGAAAGCTCGAATCCTGACCCAACAGACGAAACCCCCGTGAGGCCGGAAGTCTGAGTCTCCACTCTGAACCAACAACCAGGGGTAGAGAGTCCAGGCTGAGAATCCGCGAGATATTTAGGGTTAGGGTTTAGGGTTTAGGGAATTCGCAGAAAATTTAGGGCTTCGGTCTCGCATCGAACAGTACACAGCCTAAACCCTAAACCCAGGCCGGGTGAAAGCCAGCATCGAATGCAAGAGGTCGGAACTCTTGCGTGTACTGCGCGCTGATGAAGCCAACCTCATGGTTTATGGTTTACCCAGAGGCCCCAAAGTAGTTCCTTTTGGGGATTACCCTACAGGATTCTATGTATGAACTGGGAAAAGGAACTACTTTAGGGCCTTAGGGTAGGCTTATAGTGTTGCGGGTTATGTTTCCATGGGTTTCAACGTAGAGTTATCAGCACTGAAGATCTACCATAATCAAGGCTTCGTAGGATTTTTACACGGTTTGTAACATGCCTTCGCAGGGTTTGTGGTGCTGTTGAGGGGCGGGCGTGTGCTTATGGAGTTGACTTGCGTGCTTCTTCACTCAGGAACCAATTCTGTTCTTCATTCGTTGCGTGCTCTGTACATGCGTCGGAGTTTATGAGCCCGCAGCTTAAAAGGATCACGACAGGAAAATCAACATAAGGCTGTAAGAATAACCCGATCCTTAGAGGACTTGGGCGTGTCATACCAGTGCTTCGGAGGATGCACCCTAAACCCTAAACCCTAAACCCCTCATACCGATGCACCGGAAAGGAAGTTGGCTCCCAAACCACACCCCTAAACCCTAAACCCTAATCCATACATCCGTTGAAGGCTCAACCGTTAGGACCACAACCTGAGGCTGTAGGATCGAGCTGTTTCAAGCTTTAAAATGGGGGGGGGGGTTCCGAAAATTAGGGGTACCTTATTTGGGAGTCCTTGTAAAAAGGATCCTTCTATCTAGGGTACAATATAGGGTCCCCTATTTTCGGAAACTCCCAAATCGCTCAGGCCCGAAAACCATGCATTCTAACTATGAAGACATGCCTCATCCCCGTGTAAACCCTAAACGCACTGAAACTGGCACCCCGAACTCCAAACTCTAACCCCAACCTCCAAAAGACAACGCACAGAATTGAAATGTTGAGGCTCCGTCCATGACAGCCTCTGCAACTGTGAAGACGGCGAGAAGTATGTAGTTCCTGTGTCAAAGAAAATGTGGTTAGGGGGTTTGGGGTTTAGGGTATGGGGTTTAAATTGGGGTTGGGGGTTTAAGGTTTATGGTTTGGGGTAGGGTTTGGGGTTCAGGGTTCCTTTAAACTTTACGGCATCTGTAACGGTTTATAGCGGCTTTTGAGGGCTTTACGGCTCAGTTGCTGGGCTCAGGTTCCCTGGGTCGAAGTCCGCAGGCTATTTAGTTATTTGGGGGTTTCCGAAAATCGGTGGTGCCTCATTTTGGGGTTCCTTATATTAAGGATCCTACTATTTAGGGTATGTTTTTGGGGTCCCCTATTTTCGGAAACTCCCATTTAAGGACTACTAAAAACCGGTGACTATAAGACATCAGCCCTTTTTTTCCGGGCATTGGGACTTCAGGGTTACTGTCCGAATACTTACCATAAGGCTGTCCAATAAACAAAACGTAGTCTATCCCTGGCTGCGCTGTAGCAAGAACCCTGAAAACACAAGAAGTAAACAAGGATCCGGAACGCGAGCTGTGCTTTAGAAGTTTAGGTTTCGTAGGGTAACATAGGAGCCTTATAGTACTTAAACGAAGGTTCGGGCTCCTAGGTCATTACACAATACAAAAAAGCAACAAGGAAGCGTAAGGCATAATATGAGACCAAGGTTCGTCGGACTGCGTCGCATCGTATCAGGGCCTCAAGACATGTTTGATGCTTAGAGACTTCAATGCCAAACCTGGGAACCTTGAACCCTAGGGTTTAGGGTTTACTGTAGTGTTTCGAGAATCCGTAGGCCGTAGGATTGCCAGCGGGGAGTTTGCGTCACTAAGGCTTGAAGATGTGGAGTCCGAAAAAAGGTTTAGGACTTCGGGCTTGGGATTCATGAAGGCTCATGGTTTTGTAAGGGCTTGGGCTTAGTGCATATAGGTATTGGGGCTTTCATGAAGATCGGAAGGAGAAGAATGTTATTATCGGGTCTGATAGGAAATCCGTTCAGGAATCGTCTTGGTTTATAAATTTGAGCCACCTTGTAACCTAAAGCCCGAGATTGTGTTTGGACAACTGACCCCCCTCATAGAACCCCTCTACTGTAAAACAACCCTTTAATTGCCCAAAGGAGCTCGTATAAACTGCCCCGGGACCCTGAAAGCTAGCCGGCTTGATGAGTTCCGCGCAGCAGAAGAATACGCACGACATTGCCTTGGCTGGTGTAGGACATTGGAAGGGGTTGGAGTTTAGGGCTTAGGGTTGATATAAGGTTTCAGGAGGTTTCGGGCGGTTTGAGCGGGTTTGAACCCAAGACACCTGCCAATTCAGGGCTGGCATACGGGCACTAAGAATTTCGGAGTCACGATTCGGATTTTAAGGCCTCCGGACCAAACACCGAGCCCATAAATTGAATAGATCAGGACTGTGGCTTTTCAGCCTCTTAGCCCCAAACCCTTAGCACACGAGAGTGCTTGAAGGGAAAGGCCGCGGTGTGCCAACCAAGTCATGTGGAAGTGTGTACTTCGTTGAATTTGGGCTCTTTGGTTTGCAGACTCTGTGCATTTCCTCATCATAAGGACTCACATAATCCAAGACCACGAAATCCTTCATTAAGCAGAACGCCTCCAGCAGATTCGTCTAGAAACCTATGTAAACCTTGAACACAGTGCTGTCAGGACGCCATAAACCCTAAACCCTAGACCCTCAAAAGGACTAAATTGCTAAGCGGTCCTAGATCCTAGGTCCCACCCAGTAGTAACTGAGAAGCACTTGAAGACCTAAAAGCACCTCAAACCCTCAAGCTTAACGACTACCTGAGCCCTATGAAACCCAGATTTTTCGGGTTCCTTACTATGATTTGCACTGAAAAGGTCGTTTCTTTCGGGGATCAGGTTTTGCAAATCTCATTAACCCTACCCTTAAGTCCGCAAGAGCGCAGGATGTAGATTCTTGCTGCTGTGTAGATAGATAGATAAGATAGATGATAGATGGATAGATGGCTATGCTAGGCTAGGAAGTAGTTTGGGGTCCAAAACTAACAACCCAAGAACACGTGTTGCGGTTTCAGGGGTGTCTTGGCTTTTCGGGCCTTAATGTCTTGAGGGATTGCAAGGCTTTGTTGCGGGATACGTAGGGTTTTAAGGTGTCTTATGGGGCCGGGCGGCAATCGATGTGGTGATGGAGCCGACCAGCAAAGTCCTCGCTGTCTTCCCCACAACACTCCCAAACCCTAAACCCTAAACCCTAAACCTCAAGGGTTTCCGGGGGACTCCCAAACTCCCTGCACCTGAGGAACATACCCTAAACTCCATGGGGCTTCGGAATACGACTTAAGCTATGTTCCTTCATTCAGGGCACTTTCTTTCAGTCTCTTCTTTAGGAACAAGATTTGGGCGAGGGTTTCTATTATAGGGCCCAGAAGTTCTGGCTCCGTATGGCACCCACCGTTTCTCAAAGCCCCCAGTTTGGCGTCGAAGCAGAAGGGCTTGTTTAGGGTGTACCCGAATATGGAGAGGACGGCTTAGGTTTGTGGGGACGCAGCTGTGCCAGCCAGTCAGCTATTTTATGACCCATTCCCGCATCCCGAAATACAACGCCGAGACTCCAAAGCCTAAATCCTATACTAATGCCTATGCAAGATCCGACACTCCGAGCTTTAAGCCTCAAGCCCACATCTCAAAATCTTTCTCCAGACTGCAGCCTGCCATCCATACGTCAGTCCCGCCGTCCACCGCCCATCCATCCATCCATCCATCAATCCATCCAACCATCCATCCGTCCATCCGTCCATCCGTCCATCCGTCGATCCATCCATCAATAAATATACGTATGTATATATATATATATATATATATATATATATATATATATACATAGAGTGATATGTATATACATATATATATATGTTCATTTTGATATCTGCATCTTGGGCTTATATGGCCTTAGACTCTAAACTCCAAGCCGAGGCAGCGACAGCATCAGCGTCGGGTTCGACTTGGCGATAGTTTCGGCCTGAGGCACTGTCGTTCAGGGCCCCCTTCCTAGGCTGGCCCCTTAAAGCCTCTGACAAATTTTCGTTAATGGGGTCCTATGAAGCCCATTAAGGGAAAATATAAAATGTCCCAAAGGCCTACCTAGCTTCGGGTTTAGGCTTGGGGTTCGGGCTCAAGGAAGTAGAGCCTGGGATTACAGGGGTTTAACATAGGGGCCTTAATGATAAGAACAGGGTTTTGGGAAAAAGTATACTATAACTATAATATGGAACCTCAAAATAGTATTTTATTTTATTTCAGAAGGTGCAAAGCTCTCCGAGAGCGTACCTCAAGCAATGAATTCAGGTGAAAACAAACTCAAAAGGGGAGGGTTCAGGCGATAGCCGAATGGACTCCTCAATCCAGCTAGCGAACTCCCCCCCAGAAACACGAGAAAAGAGACACTGCACTCTACAAGGCATGCCCTGACGACTGAACCCAATCACAAGGGAAATCCAAAAGAGTGCGCAGTGGAGCCACTCCCGGAAGAGGGCCATGTCTCGCAGCGAACAGGATCAAAATAGTATTGGTAATTGTTTAGGCCACTTCTTTTAGGCTTTAGGGGTCTTGTGTGTTGAAGGTTCAGGCTTCGCAACCTGGGGCTAAGTGCTCGAGATTGCAAGCCTGAAATCCCCTAATGGCTAGCAAACCCAAACTGCATCGTTTCCCCGACCCGAAGCTGTGCAACTCGGTAGGTTGTTCCCGACAGGGCAAGCATGGAGCCTTGATTTTGATGCCTCCCAACATACATTCTGACGGACCTCAGTGTGGTATTAGTAGACTTTATGAAGAGGCAACACTAATTTCGCTGCTCCCGGGTACGGGTAGCCAGGAAGCCAATCGAGCCTTAGGCTAATATAGGGGCCTTAACAATTAGAATAGGGTTTTGGGGCCCGTAATACTATGGTTGTAAGTAATAAGGGACTCCCAAAATTGTATAGGTAACTATTAAGGCCCCGATATTTGACTCTAGACCCGGGGCCCTGAGCCTAAATCCTCTGCCCGAACGTAGCTTAAGCCCCACACCACAAGTCCTTTTGGAATGATGGTATGTTTATGTTATGCTTATAGGTTTATCGAGACTCTACAGAACACTTGTGGAACCCTGACCCTAAACTCCAATCAAACTAAATCGACTCCGGCGTGGAACTATAGAGTATAAGTGCCTTGACTATCAGACAATGGCTGTTGGGGGGCAAAAAGACCATAACTTAGGGCTTAGGGTTTGGGGTTGGGACAGTTACGGGCATGTTTGCTAAGTATTTCAGGGTCAAAGCGCCACGCAACACCTGGTTCCCAGAGCGCGAAGATAGGTTCCCAGAGCACGAAGATATGACATCGAGGTCGCTGAGGGTTTGTCGGGGCTTCGGCGGGTTCAAGGGCATCAAGGGTTTGGGGTTCATGGGCGTTGGTAGATATGAGAGGTTCGCGAATCCTGGCTTAGCCAAGCAAACTCCCACACCCGAAGTGCGAAACCCTTCGGTCCAGGCGCCGGGCCAACTTCATTACAATCCCCCCGACCAAGGTCGTCACAACCTTGATGCGCGCGTTTTAAGGCTCGGGGTGTAGACTTGCGCTTACTGTTTTGGTGGATGGGTACCCGTATTTCTAGAAGCTCGATACGACAGGCTCTCTTTTGATAACCTGTCACGAACCAACTTGGACCTTTTTGCGGGGCGTCGGAGATGCTATCACGGCAGGACGCCGAATGAATGAATGGTCTCTGGAGAGAGCAGGCAACTCATCAGAAGAGTCGTGAGCATGTGTGCGATTGTGGCTGAGACCGCCGCAAGCTGAACGCCTAGGATGCAGTACACCTGCGAAGCGGATTTCGGGCAAACAAAATTGCCCTCCTCATTGTTGGCTGCGTTCAAAATCAAGGTCCCTGGAGAGCCAGCAACAAATCTCCGTCCGAAACTGTTTCGCGCGTTGCAAAGCAACAAAGTAAGGGTGACCCCTCGGTTATGGTGGGATTGTTTGCGCTCCGGAAAGGCTCAAGCTCAAGCCCACCTACTTAACCACCACCCTAATACAACCTAATTACCCCTCTTAAACCTTAGACCCTGAAACCCAAAACGCTAAACCCTACCTCTTCAACTCCACACCTCATTATATGAACCCCGAAAGCGCGACGCCCTTCTCCCAAAACGCTACACTTCAAAGCCCCCCCCCCCCCCCCCCCCCCCCCCCGAAACCTGTCAATCCCTGAACCGCAAACTCTAAACCGAAAGACTCCCGCCCCCTGAAACTTCTTTTCTCCAAACCCCTGCGACTCTAACTCCCAAACCTCCCAAGAAAACCCAGAACCTTCCGGACGAATCCATGTCGCACGGCAGTCTCCTCGATGCCGCACCTGGAACCAGGTTGAGGGAATAGGCACCTCTTTCAGCAGGATTTCAAAAGGATGTTATAGCCATAGCGCTCTCAATGCGATTAGTACCAGTAAGGCTATGCAGGGATCCTACATGTTTCTGTACCTTATTAGGTTCTTGATACTCCCACGTGCTTCATCAGCGGAGGTACCATTCACCGGGAAACCCCTGAGCCCGAAAATCAGAAGGCTTCAGAACTTGGACATTGATGTGGATGCTGAAGCCTTTCCCTAGCCCCCGGCAAAACACGAAACCCTAAACCCTAAATCCTAGACCCTAAACCCGAAGTCCTAAATCCTAAACCCTACATCCTAGACCCTAAACCATACAAATTAAGGATCCATAGATGGGAATCACAGTAGAAAACCCTAGGGTCGGCTTTGGGGGGGCTCAGGTCGGGTTGAAGACCGGTTGCCGCTATAAGTAGGCGTGCATGAGCTTGTCGGGGGGACTCCAGAAGTCCTGAGTCAAGTGGGCTTAAGTTTCAAGAGCTTCCGGAACGCTACTATAGGGGCCTTATAATATTTTCAACGGGGTTTGGGGGGCCCACGATACTACAATTATAGCAAGGATCCCCCCCCACAAAAAAAATAGGATAGGTAAGTACTACGGCCCAGATATTACACCCTCATACACCAAGATCCTGCACTCGGGGCATGGCAACTCGAACTTCTCCTCGTCGTCTCGGATGAGCGATGTCCTGCTTCATTTATCAAAGGTCTCAAAAGGTGGGATGAAGGTAGGATTAAGGATCCCTTATATAAGGACTCTTACTTGGGAATATCCCACCTACCTTCATCCCAGCTTGTCAGGCCTCCGAATTTACGGGCCAGTCGATTGGCTTCACGGTTTGGGGCTTTGCTGTCGGTTTACAGGGAACTCCAAAAAGTTGGAATATGGTTTCAGGGTAGGATACCTTATAATTTACCATAAAGGGTTAGGATAATCATATTCCAACTTTCTGGCTTTTACCTTAGGGCCCTGAGCTGCAAGGCTGATGGGGCTTCGGGCATAAGACGCTAAAGCCCTAAACCCGAGCTCGAAACCCAAAACCCCTAAATCCTAGCCCTAAACTCTGAAGCCCCAAATCCTAACCCTAAACTCTGAACCGCTAAACCCTAGCCCTAAACCCTGTAGAGTTTGGGCTTTTTTTTTCAACTTCTCGGCTTCTTTACGGTGCTTGGGGCGGCGGGGAACCCCACCGTTTGGTGGCTTACCCCGAGGGTCCCACTACCAGCTTGTGCGTTTGGGGGGGCTTAGGGTTAAGGTTTAGGGTTTAGGGTTCGGGGGTTTAGGATCTAGGCTTTGGGGCTTAGGGTTAAGGGGAGCTACTGAAGGGAGCATCTTCTAGGTTGGCCCGAAAGCCTCTGCAAAATATCGTAAACAGGTAAGCCCAACAAGGGGAAAAGATAAATTATCCCAAAGGCCTACCTGGTCTTCTGTGCTTGTGTGACTGCCAAGGCCCTGAGGAGAGGGGCTTGATCAAATGGCTGCTAGGGTCCAGTGAAACCTTGAGGCCCGACACTTGACCATCCAAACGCCCATAAACAACAGGTTAGGGTTTCAGGTTCAGGCTTTAAACAGGTTAGGGTTGAGGGCATGAAACCTTATACAAATCACTTGTGTAAAGAATACAATGCCCTACTATTGTATCAGGCGCCGCAACTCCTCTGCGTGCACACACCTCAATCCAAGACCCAGAGGCACTAAGCCACGCAAACCCGAGATATTTTTGACGAAATGGAAAACAATCTGCGGAGGCCTCTCGGAAGCCATTTTCCTTGTGACGGCCTGG